CTATTCGTTGGTAAAAGAGTTGGCGGTGGATGGTGATGACTAGCTGCCTTTCCTCTAGTCTTACACTGCTAAATTAGGGAGGGCAAGTGCAGATAGCCTTCGTGTAGCTTTCCGCGAAATATAAACAAACAATACTTTTTTCTGCTATGCCACTTTCAAATTCGTACTTGACTTCACGTGGGGGAACTGCCTTTGTAGATCTTCGTATCTGTTATTTCTGTTTGACTTCACGTGGGGGGACTGCTTGTGTAGATCTTCGTATCGGTTGTTTCCGTTTATCTCTCTCCACGAAATATCATGTTTTCTGCATTTATAATGTCAGTGTGTAAACGTTTTGAACACTAATTGGATTGATATTTAGAATGTTAACCATTTAAAATATTGAAAAAATAAAGAAACCGGATTTTACGTCGACAAGAACGTTGTTTTTTACTAAATCCACATTCGACAAACTAAACAGTTTCTTATATTTTGGAAAACAAAATTTTCTAATAGTTGTAACTGTTTTAGTCATCTTTTACATTTGTAGGTAACTAAACCGTGTGCAAATAATTATTTATAATATTGATTTGAACATTGTAATCTTGATTTTTTTTTGTACAGTTTAAAACTACGACTAATCTTACTGTAGATTTTTTTATTGTCCCAGTTGACGAGTACTTTGTTATTTTAGAGTTACGACTAATCTTACTGTAGATTTTTTTATTGTCCCAGTTGACGAAGTAACCGTTATTTTAGAGTTACGACTAATCTTACTGTAGATTTTTTTATTGTCCCAGTTGACGAGTACTTTGTTATTTTAGAGTTACGACTAATCTTACTGTAGATTTTTTTTAATGTCCCAGTTGACGAAGTAACCGTTATTTCTTGAAGATATATTTTTATTTCCATTCATACATAAAAACAATTGTTTCTCGAGGTGGCATGAAAAGTTCATATTTAGTTTTTGTTTTTGATATCAGTAGTCCCTTTCTTTCATCCCCCCACGCCGGTGGATTAGCGGTAAACTTGAGAAATGAAAACGCTTAAGTTCGGGATTCGATCCTCATTGTGCATCTTCGTGATTAACAACATATAAAATGTAAATTCGTCGGCTAATTTAATATCTAGAGGGTTCTGCTGTACAGCTAAACTACTTAATTTTTATGTTAGTTGATAAGACTCGATCATTTTATAACCAAAGTGACTGAAGAGAATACGAGTTTTCAAGCAGTCGAGGTTATAGAACACTTAGATTGTCGTAAAAATTGGGTAAGTCTGATGATGTTTCTAAACAGTACTGTTCATGTAATAACATAAGACACTTTACTCTCACCGATATTTATTTTACAAAAATATTCTCTAACTTTAAAGAAATACGTTAGTTTTTTTCTTACCTATATCTTTAGATTTTTTTTATCATAATCTAACCACAAACTTAAATGAGTGACATGACAGGATAAACATGATAAAATTAATTTTATTACACTTACATTAGGGTTCACGTGGTAACATACACTGATAATGTAAAATAACTGACAAGAGTGTACATGATAGTAACGACTGTTACTTAGAAATGGTAGGGTTCTCGTGGTAATAGACATTGTTACGTGGTAAAAAAAACAATGTTAAATGGGCGTAACAGACAAGATACCCTCGGTAGATGCTCTTCCCGCCGAATTGGAAGCTTTGCAAACGTATGTTCCACTGTCTTCCAGGATAACAGAATCTATGTTTAACACCACTAAGCCAGAGTTAACGCTGATGGTTATACGGGAACCTAATACAGATGTTAAGATATTTGGATTTAGCGTTGAATTGAAACTAAATCGACAGTTATGTGTGGAATATATTTGATATTCCTTACAGATGTATGAAAATAGAAATAACCAATTTGTATAATAATTATCTTTGACAGTTTGGACAAATGTTTTGGCGAGAAAATAAACTATCCAATAATACAAAGACAATGTAAATTTCATGATTAATAACTAATAATCAGGTTTTATTTTAATATTTATTTGTATATTATTGTAATACACGGCTCAAAAACCTGGTGTTCGATATTACGCCACCTTTGACTTTGCATTAATACCTCATAAAGTTCACTAAATCTAGAACACGTGAGACATTTAAAATATATGGAATGATAATTATGAAACCTTTATAAAATATACATTTAATTGATTTATTTATAATACAACAAGGAAAAGTACCCGTCCCCAGTGACGGGAAAAGTTTAAGTTAATCTATAAATTTAAATTATTTCATGGACTTTAAAAAGGTTAAATGTGTTGCACTCTTGGTTTCAGTCAGAGCCAAAGCTCTGAGCTACTTGTACCACCCACCGAGAAAAGTAATTGTTGAGTATTTCAGTCATGTTGAGAGTCACTCAACAAAAAACATACGGTAAATCTACATTTTATTTTCCTTTAAGTTACGTCACATTTTGAAATGGTAGTGTGATTAATTACTAACAGTTTAGTGTAGAGTATCCTGCTTGCGAAATGAAATTTGGCATCAACATTATTCCTGCCTGTTCTCCCGTCATTGGGAAGAATATGCAAACTTCCTAGACCAATTATTTCCAGAAACAACAATAAATCTAGCAGAGAAACCATCTGGCATTGATAATTATTTTCAACCAATTACTGAGTGAATTGCCAAAGCTGCAGAACAGACAATACTAAAACAAAAGCGATACTCTATCAAAATACATGGAAACCTTACACCCAAATGATAAACGAACGTCGTCATCTGAAAAGCCAATACAAGAGATCCATACATCAAAATGAATGAACACACAACCCTAAAAACTTTTGGTCACACATGAAACGTTTTACAAATAACCAAAATAGGTATAAAATTTCTCCAACCTTGCATCATGAAATGGCATTTACAAACGAAAAAAAAACGAAGTTTTAAAAAAACAATTGAGGAAAACCATAGACACGCAGTAAACAAGTATATAGAACAAAATAAACATATACACACCAAATTTCCCAGTAGTTACAACAAATCCACAAAACTTTACGAAGTTCCAGGTAAAGATGGAATACAAACCAAAAAAAGCACTCGGAAATTGTTTGACCATCTAAGAGCATTATATAATTTATCCCTCAGTTCTGGTTACATTCCAGCCTCTTGGAAGCAAGCAAATGTTCTTATGTTTCTACAGGAAGCTAACGACCAATCAGTCTGACTAGTTGTTTAGGCAAAATTTTAGAAATAATTATTACCAATAGGATCTCCACTTTTCTGAAGATCACGTGAAAATTACCCGAAGTTCAAAATGGTTTCAGAAAGCTTCGGCAAACAGCGGATCATTTGGTTAGATTAACTGAAACCGATAGATAGTTCTAATCATAAGAAATGCACTGTCGCCTACTCTCTAGATACAGAGAAAGAATTAGACACTATATGGCATAACAGTTTAAGATATAAGTTAAAACAATTACCAACAGGTGTTGTTCACTGATTTTATATCTTATTAGAAAATACAGAGTGAATGTAGAAAGTACCTCCTGGAGTACTTTACTCCCGAGGTGGGTGTTCCAAAGGGAGGGGCAGTTCGCTCTATCATGCATGTATGTATTTTGGTTTAACATCACAATTTGCAGACGATGAGTTGATTTGGAAGAGCTCTTGTTCTCCTTCGATAGCAGCTACTTTGATAAAAATTTGTATAAAAACTACTCGTTAACTGGAGTGGGATGTGCTGTCAGAATTATGGCAGAGAGTGGGATAACATCAGAGATAATAATTAAGTGGGAGATGCCCTAATAGCTAATAGCAAAGACAGAAATAACGCCAGAGCTAGCCATTAGTTCGACATGGATCTTTCTGAATTGCTGCAACAGATAAGGTGGAAATTTTAGCAGTTTTGTCCAGCGTAAAGGTTTATTATACAGTAGAAAAAAAAATCATTTTTGTATGGTAAGTTCGGAACATTAAGTACCAGATAATAGTACGTATAGGTATGTAGGACTTGTACATTCAGTGGTTGAAGAGGTTAGAAAATATGTACATTTAAACACAAACGTATCTGCCTTTGAAACAACACACAACTTTTTTTGCTAAACATCACTAGATACATATACCAAACTTCACCTTCTCGAACATTTCCCAACAGGTTACATATCATTAATATGTACTAAAATTCACCGCCATAGTATTGACTGGAAGAGCTTCGAAACATCAGAATTAACTGACACCATCGCCCCAAAAAAACAACAGGAAACTGCTAAACAAACGTAAAAGTCCCTAAACAGTTAACAAACCACATCGTCATAGCACCAAGTCGAAGAGTTTCCAACAAAAACATCACTAGACATTTACCAAACCTCATCGTCATAGCATCAATTCGAAGAGTTTCCAACAAGCTTCAATTCGAAGAGTTTCCAACAAGCTATCACTAGACATTTACCAAACCTCATCGTCATAGCACACAAAGTCGAAGAGTTTCCAACAAGTTAAACCTATGACGATGAGGTTTGGAAAATGTTTAGGGACTTTTAGTTTGTTGGAAACTCTTCGACTTTGTGCTATGACGATTAGGTTTGGTAAATGTCTAGTGATGTTTAGCTTGTTGGAAACTCTTCGAATTGATGCTATAACGATGAGGTTTGGTAAATGTTTAGATAGTGGGTACCTTTCATTTATTAAACAAAGTGGTGTAACAGTCAGCAACGTGTTTCAGATACATTATATATATATGAATGAAAAAAAAATATTTATTTGTATATTTGTAGTTAAGTACAAAGCCACACAATGAGCTATCTATGATGTTCCCACCACGGGTATCGAAACCTGCAGTCTTACCTCTATGACACTGGGGTCTCTAAAAAGAGAAGAGCTAGGGGGGATATTTAGATTTATCGAACTTTGACAATATAACCGTTAATTAGCTTCACCTACCTTAGTTTAAAATGTATGGACACAGACCAGCCTGCCCCTCCTCCCAGTGGCACAGCGGGATGTGTGCGGACTTACAACGCTAGAAATCGGGTTTCGATTCCCGTGGTGGGCAGAGCACAGATAGCCCGTTGTGTAGCTTTGTGCTTAACTACAAACAAACAGACTAGCCTAAAATACTATTAAAAAACAAACAACAAGAACCATTTTATGTCCAGTTTTAGATCAGGTGTTAATATGTTTTATGTTAATAATGTTACAGGAAAAGGAAAATTAAAGAAATGTCTATTACTTATAGAGTACGTGCCTTAAAAACACTGAAAATGGAATAAAATCTAGGATTGGCCATTCGAATATTAAGACCATTTTTTTCAAATCAACATCCTAGAAAATCAAATCACGACATACCTGTTTGAAGAGGTTGTCCATCTTTAAAACATTCTATTTTAAGATTTGGGTCATTACTTGGTTCCACCCTTGCCTCGAAGCGTACATGTTTTTGCTCGGAAACACTGTAGATGTTAAACAGTGGAACCGTGAATTTTGGAGCTTCCACATCGTCAACTGTAAGATAATTATATATTCTATAATTTATCTGGAGTATATAGATGTTAAACAGTGAAACCGTGAACTTTGGAGCTTCCACACCATCAACTGTAAGATAATTATATATTCTATAATTTATCTGGAGTGTATAGATGTTGAACAGTGAAACCGTGAACTTTGGAGCTTCCACATCGACAACTGTAAGATAATTATATATTCTATAATTTATCTGGAGTATATAGATGTTAAACAGTGAAACCGTGAACTTTGGAGCTTCCACATCGACAACTGTAAGATAATTATATATTCTATAATTTATCTGGAGTATATAGATGTTAAACAGTGAAACCGTGAACTTTGGAGCTTCCACATCGAC